CACCTTTGAAGAGCCACAAAGCCCCAGAATCCAAGCAGCATTCTGCAGCATTACAGCCACTCCCCACCCATTCCCCTTGCTCTCATCTCCTCCCCTTCACCCAAATCACCCCTTTTTCCCCCAAATCTGAACTCGAGGAGCTCTCCAGGTGTAGCCCCACCGTTTGGCCTCCTCCAGRCGACACAGGTACTGGTAGGCAACGTTCTGCCTCCTCTGCTCATCCATCTCGTCTGCAGTCAGGCGCTCACCTGGGCAGGAAGGGGGTCCCCGTCAGAGCCCCCTGCTCAGAAGGGCTTTTTGAAACCTCCATGGCCACCAAAACTAAGATTTGGGARAGGAAGGCAGGCTTTGGGTGCAGCAGCCTCCCAAAACCCTCGTGGGTGTGGCACCAGCATCACAGTGACACCAGCCAGGCCCTTCTGGCAGTGGGAGGAAAGTTTCCAATTTCCCTTTTTCCCAAATAACGGCCAGCAGGGCTGGCACTGCAGCAGGGGAGGGCCCAGAGCCAGCACCCGGGGAGGGAGTGGGGAACACGGCTGCAGATTTAGGGTCCTTGGATACTGCAGGGACCCACACGACTTCTGGGSGGCACCCAGCTGTCCCCCAACAGACCATTCCTCAAATTATGTCCCTCCCAGTTTGTCCCCAGGTGCCTGGCACCTTGCCATCACCACCGTCTACCCACACCCAGACMTGCCTGTCCCCCCTCAGCCTCCTGCACCCCTAAACCTGACTATTGCTCCCACCCCCTGTCCCGCCCTGCATACCAGACCCGCCTGTCCCCATAGCCCCCTACTCCTCCCAGAATTACCTGTCCCCTCACAGTGCCCTGCACCCCCAGACCCACCTGTCCTTCCCCAACCACTGCACCCCCAGATTTGTCCCCTCTCGTTCCCCTTCCCCTGGACATGCCCGCTCCCTTCATTCTCCTGCACCCCCAGACCCGCCTGTCCTCCACCAGCCCCTGCACCCCCAGATTTGTCCCCTCTCAACCCCCTTCCCCTGAATGTGCTTGCTCCTTCATCCTGTCCTACCCCAGCCCCTGTACCCCTGTACCCCCAGACCTGTCCCCTCTCGTCCCCCTGCACCCCGGACTTGCCTGGTCCCTTCATCCTCCTTCACCCCCAGACCTACCTGTCCATTCCCAGCCCCTGCACCCC